GGTTAATATTAATTTTTTTAATATAAAATTATTTATTTAAAAATATATATTTAATATACATATTCTTACATTATATTAATTAAATATAATAAATAATACTTTATTACAAAACACTAATTTAAAGCACTTTCTTTTATAGTCTTAAGTCAATCTACACAACGCACCCTAGTGTCTTAATGTCTAAAACATTCTCAATATCATCATTTTAATAGCTCAATAATTAATCATCTATATACATTATCCTATGTCAATATACATAAAACTAACACCATTCAACAATACTCAACTATCAACAATTTAATCATTAATATATATTATCCTAGATTAATGTATAAAGAACTAACAACATATATCAACTTACAACATGTAATAGATACAACTACCACATACATATTCAACATTTTTATCAATAAAACAACATATTTTCATAAGACAATTCACGCCTGGCGTCAATCTCCTTGTGTCTGACATCATTGAGACAAAGAGTTTTCGGGCTCACCATGTCCAACGCCATTCAATTTGCACCTGACGTGGATGGGATAGAGAGCCTCTCTTGCTCTCACGTCTAGTGTGGCCAAACTTCAGGCTCGACCTCATTTAAGGTAAAGAGCCTTTGTCTAATTTATGCTTGACATCACTAAATTGGTGCTTGACATTGTCTAGTTAAGGAGACTTTATCTTGATCACGCTTGACACCCCCTCCACCAGGGTTGGTGTCACCAAGTTAGAGACGTTTTTCTCTCCTAACGGTTGATGCCATTCAAACCACATATGGGGTGACCAAGTCAAATATATCTTTCTCTCCCCATGCTTGACATTACCAATTTTACGTCTAGCGTTATTAAAGTAAAGAACCCTTGATTTGAGTCACGTCTAGTGCCATAAAGACGCACTTAGCGCGATGATGATTTCTGCACATTGCATAATCACAAAATTGCTTAATCCACCTAAAACTTAAAAGAAACCAAGCATGCATTACAATAATTCATATATACTTATAATCAACAACCTATTTATCAACAAATTAGCAACATGCAACAACAATAGGTCAAGAAATCACCAACATTCAACCCAACATGCTCCAAAGAATCAAAAATCAACATACTTCAATTCAAACACAGGATTCCACCATGCAACCATGAAATTATGCAATCAACCAACATGCAACCAAAACAATCCAACAAAAATTAGGAGTTTAACTCCCCTTACCTCAAAACCAAAGTGAAACAAGGAAGAAGGAAGAAGAAGAATGACTCCAAGCTAACACTAGGACTCCTTACCAACTATGATTCTCAACTCTAACAACTTTGAATCACCAACCGGCTACTCAATTGAGAGCTTCTACGGCTCTCGAGGGGCTATAAAGAAGAATAAGGGTTTCAAAAATCTAGAGTTTCTTTCTATATTCTCTCACTAAGGTTTTTTGAAAAATTAGCTTACAAAGCTCAAATCTTAAAAGAAACCTTATATACATTTATCTTAGGGTTAAGTTAGACATCTATCCAAAAAACTTCTAAACCACCTAAAACCCACAAGAATTCCTCAATTCTCAAAGTTTGTCAATAATTAACCTTAAGAATCACCATAACATAATTATTGATAAAATCAATAATTAACAAAAATGTACAATGTTACATGATTTACTCTGATTAAAAAGAAAGCATCAAATAAAAAAAAAGTATTGAAATGTCAAATAATATAATATTTTATAACCGATATTTTGTGTCTATTTATTAAGTTATTTAGGATTTGAATCTTCATCTTAGATAAAGAATAAACTATGTTGGGATGAGAACATCTACCTTGTGTACACTCATGATCTTTAATGAAGATTAGTCAATGTTTTAAGCGACAACTAATTTGTATCAATACCAATATACCATGGTTACCTATCAAAGAAGTTAATTAAACCCTAAAGAGTAACACTAACCCAAAATTGTGGTGTTAGACTACAAAACATCAAAATTTTAAATTTGGTTAAAACATTTTTTTTGTCTATATAGTTTCATTTACTTTATCTTTCGGTCTTGTGTAAAATAGACATTTTTAATTCTTATAGTTACCATTTTTAATCACTTTAAGTAAAGAGTCTTCGATCATAAGGTTTCTTTCTCTCTTCATTAACTTGCTTGTGAAGCAGGTGAAAAAAAAAAACCTATTTTTATCATCTCTCTTGTAGTGGAGCAATGGGTTAGAGGCTTAGGGCTCTTACGTGAAAAAGGGCATGTTGTTTTGTTGTAGCCTTGTGAAAGCGTACATTGTTTTTGGTAGAGTGCGATGGTGTTTATGTTGTTGGTGGAGTGCGTCTCAACAAAAGGTTTTGTAAGTGAGAATAAAAAAAGTTATAAAATGTTAAGAAACTTCATTTAAGATAATTCTAACAAAATATATTCTACAATAAAAAAATATAAAGTTAAAGACCTTTTGTTATATCATCATAAAAGAGATAACTTTACCAAGAAATAATAATAAAGACTAAGAAGATTAAACAAGTTAAGTATAAGATTAAAATGTTTATTTTAAATTATAAGGAGAAAAATGTAAAGTAAGTTAAAAATTAAAATATCTTTTTAGCCGTTTCGCTTATCTTTTAATTTTTATAATTTAAAATAAATATTTCTAGTCCTATATTTATCTGTATTAATCCATTGTAGTTCTTATTATTTAAAATATCCCTTTTTAATTTATATATTATCCTTTTTTAATCCTATTTAATCTCTATTTCATTTTTTTCTATAATGTCGTATTTTTTATATTAACGTGATAAAATTTTATAGTTTCAAATTTAGGATTTCTCAACAATGGTAAAAAAAAAAAAGGAGATACAAAATATCCGGGAACCCAATTTCAAAAAAATTCAGCAAATTAAACTCGATATAAAAAACGCAGATTTGAATATTTAAGTCATATCAACTAAAAGAGACAATAGTGCAAAAAATTTATGAACTAAAAAAACTAGTATAGAAAAAAAAAAAAGATTTACCTTAAATTATGAAAACTAAAAAATATTAAAAAATAAATATAAATAAATTTTAAATTGTAGAAAGTAAAAAAAATAAAGTAAGTAAAAATATAAGATTAAAAAGATATTTTAACGTAAATGATGCATTAAAAGAAAAAAAAAAAAAAAAAACGAATCGGTCATCCCTGGCAGCCATAATTACCTTTGTAACTCCATTTCTGAGGCAGCCAACGCATTGGGCGAAAACAAAACAACATTTGTAAGGAAGGCGATGGAGAGTGATGCCGTTCGACGTTGGGCGTTGGAGTTCCTTCTTCGGAGCCCATTCGTAGCCGATGACCTAATTGAAAAAGTGCTTCCTATAATCCCCGTTTCAGACGCTGATTCTCGCCTCAAGAAGACCCTTCTCCTCAGAGCCCTTCAATACCACGTCTTCGCACTCTCCATCCCTGAACCCCTTCTCCAAATCCTCGAAATCCTCGAAGAATTCCACCGTATCGATGGCTCTCCGGTCACCGCCGCTATGAGTGCCGCCTACTGCGCCGTCGCGGTCGAGTGCACGCTCAAGTACCTACAACTGGAAGACCACGGTAAAAACCCCTTCTACTTCAATGCTGTGGAAAGGATATGGCGCGCTAGGGTTCCGCACATGAACAGATCCGGCGACTTCGAAGGAAGCCTTATGTTCACCGAGGAGTTGAAGCGGTGGAGCAGCGACATCGAAGCTTCTCTTTCGGACTCGCAATTGAGGGAGAGGCTGGCCTCCATTGATACCAGAAGAGACGCCATCATCAAGCTTAGGGTTTACTTGGCCGAGGAATGGGCCAATTTGGGCCCTTCCTTTCTTGAGGTAGCTGCGTCCGTGCACACAAACAAGGCCCCAACTACAGAACACTTGGAGGCCCAACACCAACACCAAGAGAGAGGTCGATTTTTAAAAATTATTATGTTGCCAAACCAATATGGTCATCATGGATTTCATTTGTATATGCCATTTTTACACTATCTTTAGTTTGGTAACTGTTAGAGGAACTACTGTACTAGTTATACCCACCGTTTAAGGAAATACCATTGATGATTGGTTAATTTTTACGCTCACAATGTATGCAAGTTAAACTTTTTTAGTGTTTCCAACAGAAATTCAGGACTGTAGCAATGCTGCTGATGAGCAAATACCTTTAGCAACAACTATTGAAGTCCAAAAGGTTGGGGAATGCGCTTCATCAGGGTTGCAAACATTGGTCAAGGATTCTCTACTTAATTCATCAGAAGTCAATGAGGAAGCACATGTTGAAGAACAGAGTAGAGATGCAGATATACCATGTCCAGATGTTATTAATAATAACGAGGCTGATATGGCGGAAAAAGATCAAGCTCCTGTCCCCCATATTCGTGTTCAAAAGCCAAGTTTGATGGAAGAGAATACTGCTGCTCGTATTTATGAGGTAGTTATGCTTGTAGTTTCTTATTTTGGTGGTTGATTCATTTTGACAATTTAGAAGTTAAAGGGTCAACATCTTTTTTTATGCCTCTTGTGATAGTCAATCTTTGTTTCGACATGACTTTATATTACTATATTAGTAATTGGTTCTTTTTTACAGTGGGACGAGTCCATAGATGGCATGCAGGGTGGAACATCAAATCCTGAAAGAAGATTTCATTTGCCTAGCCCCAAGGTCAGAAAGCTTTCTCCATTGAAGAAGTATGTACCCACTAAGATTACAATGAGGAGAAGAGCAAAAAAATGGAGTCCGTTGGAAATGGAGACTCTAAAGACTGCTGTAGACAAGTATGTGCTTGTTCTTATAATTATATTTTCACTCTGGATTTTGATTATGCAAGTATGTGCTTGTTCTGCTGTTTTACCACTGTAAGTGTTTTGAGTTGCTGGCTCAACTATGGTACCCTTTCTGCTTCATTTGAGACTATAAATAGAATTAATTACAGTTTCAATACTGTTTCCTATTCTCATTAAAGTTTGTCTTATATATACAGATTTGGCAAGGGAAATTGGAAAATAATCTTAAATTCTCACAAAGATATATTTGAAGAAAGAACTGAAGTAAGCATGCTAAAACTAGCGGATTTTTTTTTTCTTCTAAACTCGTGATTTTGATACTAAATCAAATTATTTTTCTCAGGTTGATTTGAAGGATAAATGGAGAAACATGACACGGTATGGATCCAAGTGAATCAGAAATTTCACCTCTTGAATATTACAAAGAGGTATTTCCATGCTTTTTGTGTTGTTGTTTGAGACTGTTAAGCAATATGAACAGTAGAGGTTATGTATGATTAAAACTGAATGGTATTATTACTGGAAATGATTATGATCATTGGAAAATAGTTGATAGTTTTTGAAGATTATTAGTTTTTGTAGAAGTGTAGTTTATGAAAACTAAGAAGATTTTGGTGTTTAAGCTTGCTCAAACTCAAAGAGTATACAATTATGTTTTCATTTCACTGGCTGTATTGTAACTTTGGGATAACTTGCACCTATTTATAAATTCATCTAATTTTATTAGCTTTCGAAATAGAAAAAAAAGGAAAAAGTGCATTGTATAATATAATGATAATATAATTAAGTTTAAATTAAATTCCAAACATTCATCTGTAAGAATCTTGTCAAAGTACAAATTCATTTCTTTAAAAAAGAAATAAGTGCCTTGTGTTAGTGTAACATAGATTCATGATATGTGTAAATAATTATAAAAATTAGAAATTTATATGAAATATATTTTTGTGGTGGTGCTTTATCCTTAACAAATAGTTATTATTTTCTTACATAGTTAAAATGCTGATGTATAATTTGTTTAACAATTATATCACTTGCAAAGTTATATAAATCTATTATATCGCTTATTAATTAGTTCAGAGTTATTTTATTCCATGCACCATAAAGGTTTTTTTCAATTTCTTATGGCAGAACTGTTTTTATTTTATTTTTTTATTAAGATACCAGTACATGTTTAAATTATTTTAATTTCAGACAATAATTTTATCAAAATATTTCGAAAATATTTTTGGAAGAAAACTTAAGTGTAAACAAAACTAGTTGAAATATATTTATAATCCTACCCTATAAAGTGTAATAAATTTTTGGAAAGTACTGAGGCTGTTGTTTTTTCAGTTCTGTCTCTTTTCAATGCGGACCAAGCTCCACAATTTCCCGTGATTCTTTGGAGCCTTTGAAAGCATCGTAACGAAAAGCTATGGGATGGTAAAGAGTCAGCTGCTAATGTAGTGTTGCTGCGTGCTTATCATGTGTTGCGTCTACCATTCCTAATGACAGCAATTACAGTGGCTTGCCTGTTGTAGCAGCTTGGCATAAACCTCCTGTTGGCTTTTGGAAATGTAATGTTGATGCTGGTATCCACTCACCAGCTGGGTTTGCTGCATTCGTGATCATCTAGGCAATTTTATCCAAGGAAAAACACATTGGATGCAACCTTGTGTTGAGACAGAGGATGGAGAAGCTTTGGATCTGTTACAAGCTTTAAATGGAGTTGCAGATTTGAATTTATCTAATGTGATTTTTGAGTGGATTGTAAAGTTGTAGATAAGCTGCTTGATAAGAGCCTGATAGTTTTGAAATTGGTTCTATTTTCAATGATTATCATATCCTAACTCAATTTCAACACTTTTGTGTTGGGTTTATTAGGAGGAGTTAATGTTGTATATACGCGTGATAGAGCAGCAATTGACAATGCTAGTCTTTATTTTTACCATTATATACTTGATTGTAATTTTTCTCTTATTCTTACTGAAATGACAAGTTTACTCCCTTAAAAAAACCTATTGTTTGAATTTCGTATGCTTATTTGTTATAACACTTGTGTGTACCTTCAATTTAGGTTATAATTAGTAGTCAATTATCGATGTGATTAATACTTTTAAGGTAATTTTATTAATATATTTGTGGATAAATAGAAACTTAAAAATGCTTTCTAATTATTTGTGTGAATTTTGTATGCGTATTTGTTATAATACTAGTGTAAACTTCCAATTTAGGTTGTAATTAATAGTTAAGTATCAATGTGATTAATACTTCTAAGGTAATTTTATTAATATATTTGTGGGTAAATAGAAACTTAAAAGAAAAATGCATTTAACTTGACACGGGTCATGAGAAGAATGGAGTGACAAATAGCAATTGCTTGGGTAAGGCATGCCATGTTCATATCTTGACAACATGCATTCTCATTCAAACGATGTTAAAGTTATGAACTATAGCACGGTGCTTAAATTTGTATTGGTAGAGCTTTTCGATTCTTGTAAATTGTAACTCTTAAAGACCATCGAAGATAGTATAATAAGCCTAAGGAAATGCTTTGCTCTTTTAGGTGCTGTTATAGGTAAAATAAACCATACAACACCAAACCTCCATATATAGAATAAAGATAGAAACAAAACTTGTAGATGAATATTCAATTTTCTATTGTGCATTTTTGAATTGGCTTATTTCGAGGTTGAAAGCCTTTAAATCAAAAGTTTTTTGGGAGAGCCTTTGAAATAAAACTCATTACTTCCCCCAAAATAATCCTTTCCAAACGTGCTAATAATAGGAAGAAGCCTATAAATTATTTGCAAGTGGTGAATTTGCAGGTGACATTTCCAGCACCAGAATTGGCCCTCTTGAAGCGTAGAGCAGTAAGTAGGACACTCCTAGTTGAGCCCATCAAAGCTAAATTCATGTGTTCGACCACACTAAGTGGATGATAAGTGAATTGAAAGCTGTTATAGGAGTTAAGAAGTGCAGTGATCCCTTCTCTGAGAAGAGTTCTGTAAGGGTCTCCTCTCCCTTGCAACCCATGCCATAGTGTAATGTCTGTCCCGTATCTCCTTGCTGCAACCATTCCAAAAGCTACTGCAACTTTAGTGTCCCTGTTCACACCCCTCCAGTAGCATTTGTATTCTGGCAATGTCCACTTCCTGCAAATTTAGCAAGTCATTGATGTTCTTGTAACTAAACTTGTTTATAAACGTCCTGATTTTTTATGAGGAAAATGCAATTCAATTAGGTAATGACAAGTATAAGATTATGAATTTTAGAAGACCAAAACTTATATACTCCTATATATATATAGAGAGAGAGAGAGAAGGGGGGGCGGCTAGGTTTTGTGTTTGTTAAGTTCTCCCGTGTCACTTATATTCCAAGTAGACTTACATTGGTACTCTAATTTCCGGTCAAACATGCATTGATAGGATATGAGGGTCGGTTTCACTTGTCCTACCTTAAAGCACACGTAATATGTGCAGAGCTGGGTTTCAGGAGAAACTAGGCATGCTTTAATGTAAAATAGGCATGCATGCAGGTGATTCAATTAGTTTCAACTTTCAACAACTACTAGAGAATGTTATTATCAGTTACTACCTGAACCTGAAATATATACCCATGCATAAAGCCCTTTTTTTTTAATACAACTCAAAAACACTTTAGAATTTTTCTTGTTAAAAATAAATTTTTTTAATAGATAAACTTTGAAAAACTCTTTTTAACTCGTATCTAAACGCACTCTGAGTGGAGTATGAATATAGAAACTTACTCTGATGGACATGCTGAAGCTTCTGCAAAAATGACTGGTGGTAGAGGTGGTAGTGATGGCAGTGGAGGCAATGTTGGAAGTTGGGGCACCGGAGGTAGCTTGAAATGTGGAGGAGACTTGGGTGGTGTGACAGGTGGGGGCAGTGGGTTGGAAGATGTTGAGCAGTACTGCATGGGTTGGGCAGGCTGAGCAAGGAGAGAATCCACCGTATACATCTCCATCTCAAACATTCTAAACATGAGTCTAGGACTTTGTGAAGGACCAGCTCCTTCACCACAACCCATTGACCCCTGACCACTGCCAGAGACATGGGCAGAACACCCACTCAAGTCGGGTGCGCCATCGAACCTCATTGTGTAGCTTCCAAACCAGTTAGTTGTTTCTTCTCTTGACATTATAATTTGCCCATTACTGTCAGCACATGACAGAGTTACTTTTGCACCTGTAGCAGCAAGAGGGTGCAAGGCAATAACTTCGGTCAAAAAAAGTTTAAGAATATTGATCTGTAAAAGGAAACGGATAGATTGTGACCCAACAATATTTATTCAACATCTTAATGGCCAGTTGGCTACCTGTAATCTTTTCCAACTTCATTTATTGAAAGAATGAAAAAGACTTGCCTCATATTTCTTTTTCTATCTCACTTTACATTAGAGGTGGAAGGATAGTGGTGAATGTCCACCTCAATTTTGGGAGAATAGTATAGGAAAAAGGATGTAATAAGTAATAGGAAAAGACATGAATGTTCCTCTCAATGTTTACAGGACTTTCATAATATTACGAGAAAGGAAGAGATAAAATGCATATAAAGAAAAATAAATAAAAGGGTATATATAAATACACGGCCTAGTCAGTATTCAGTAACCCGATTAAGGGATCAATGTGTAATTCTTTTTTTTTTTATTATTAAAAATTACATTAAAATTGAGATATAGTTATTACACTTTAATAAATAAAAAAGTTTGTACTTTTGAGTTTATAACGAGTGCAAAGTGAGCATTTTCCTAAATATAATTACATTGAGGAAATATATTTTCAAGATAACATTTATTCTAACAAAAGAAAAAAAGATTTTGGCATTATGTATGTGAGAAAAAATGCATTTGCAAATGCCAATACAAATAACAAGTCTTTTTTTTTTTTTTTTTTTACGACT